GTTGCATTACTCAAATGGAGCAGTGGATTTAAAGCTGATACATCAAAAAAAATTGCTGCCTTGAATGATCAGCTCACAACACTTAGAAATTTGGGAGGGCTCAAAGACTGGAACCAATGGGACTCTCTGACAAAACAGCTTGATGAACTCCACAAAGAGGAAGAAAAATTTTGGCAACAGAAATCCAGAATCTCATGGCTAAAAGAAGGGGACAAGAACACTCGATTCTTCCATGCTTGCACCATCCAGAGAAGAAAAAGAAATGCAATCACTAGACTATTAAGAGATGACAACTCCATTTGTGAGCAACAAGAAGATATTGCAAAGTGTATTGAATCCTTCTACAAAGAGCTATTTACATCAGAGCTGGCAAACCCAAGAGATGACATCATTCAATCCTTGCCGGGTTCAATCACAGAGGAGCACAACAGAGAGCTGATAGCAATAGTAGAGGTGGAAGAAGTTAAGCAAGCCCTTTTCTCCATTAACCCTAACAAAGCACCAGGAATGGACGGTATGACTTCTCTTTTCTTCCAAAAATTCTGGGATATCATTCATTCTGATCTTTATGCTGCTGTCTTGAGTTTCTTTGAGTCTGGTCAAATTCTTAAAAGCCTTAATCACACTCTCATTACTCTTATCCCTAAAATCCATAATCCTGATAGAATTTCCCAGTTCAGACCCATCAGTCTTTGTGGCACTACCTACAAAATAATCTCCAAAATCTTAGCCACTAGACTTCAGCCTTGTTTACCTGTCTGTATTTCTGAAAACCAAGCCGCTTTTGTTAAAGACAGACAAATTTTGGATAATGTCATTATTGCTCAAGAAGTAATCTCCTTTTTGAATGGGCATAGACATGGGAATACTTGTTATATGGCTCTTAAATTAGACATGTCTAAAGCTTTTGATAGAGTGGAGTGGAAATGTGTTCATCATACCTTAATTCTAATGGGTTTTCATGCTACTTTTGTCAAATGGATCATTGCTTGTATTTCTTCCCCTACTTTCTCATTTAATCTGAATGGCACTCCCCATGGTTTTGTGAAACCCACTAGAGGTATCAGACAAGGGGACCCACTGTCCCCTTATATCTTCATATTAATTTCAGAGATTCTTTCCCATCTCATCAAAACTGAGTGTCTTTCAGGGAACTTTAAAGGGATTAAAACCTGTAGGAATGGTCCTACTTTGACCCATTTATTTTTTGCGGATGACACTTTGGTGCTGGGGCAAGCAGATACTCATCATGCCCTTACTATTCTTAACATTCTGGAGAAATATAGGCAATGCTCAGGCCAACAGATAAATCTTCAAAAATCCTCCATTTTTTTCAGCAGGAACACCCCAGAGCACACTAAGAGTCAAATATGTGGAATCTTACTTGGTATCACTTGCCATAATTCTGGGAGATATTTGGGGCTGCCCCTTGGCATAGGGCAATCAAAGATCCAAACATTCCAATTCATTCATGATAATGTTGTTGCAAAAGTGGCTTCATGGAAGAACAAGTACCTCTCTCTAGCAGGTAAGGAAATTTTGCTCAAGTCAGTACTTTCAGCTCTGCCTCACTATGCTATGTCATGCTTTCTGCTGCCCAAAACTCTGTGCCACAAAATTTCACAAACTTTTGCTAAATTCTGGTAGAAGAAAGAAGGAATGCAGAGCAGTGGCATCCATTGGAAACCTTGGTCTTACCTTACCCTTCCTAAGGCTAAGGGGGGACTGGGTTTTAAGGACATTCTCCTGTTCAACAGAGCACTCATTGCTAAGCAGCTCTGGAGGATCCTCACAAAACCCAATTTTCTTCTTAGTAAAGTTCTGAAGACAAAATACTTCCCTCATGAAAGCTTATTCACAATAAAGAAGAAATCAACTAGCTCATGGCTGTGGAACAGCTGGATTGAGGTGAGAGATTCAATAAAAGAAGGTCCAAGATATGAGATAAGGGATGGCAAATCAGTCATGATCTGGGGATATCCTTGGATCCCATCATTACCAGGTTTTAAACTCTCCTCCACACCCACAACTGCAATCAATCATCTTACTTGGGTGAATGACTTAATGGACCACTCTGGAAGATTTTGGGACACCCAGCTTATACAAGCTAATTTTAATGAGACAGAGGCTCAAGCAATTCTTAACATTTAAGGTTTGGACCCAAATATGCCTGACAGACTTGTTTGGGATAGTGGTTCAAATGGTGCATTCTCTGTTTCATCTACTTATGCCAAGCTGGTAGCTGAGAAATGGCACATTCTTGATATTGCAGAGAGCAGCAGGGGTCAAAAATTGCATATGGATACAAGGAAGAGAAGCTGTGGACTTAAAGTAAAAGGAAAATTAAAGCACTTCCTTTGGAAATGTCTTACAAATACACTGCCTGTGAACTGTAACCTTATTAAGAGAGGTTTGGAATTGGACTGCATATGCAAAAGTTGTGGTAAACATCCTGAGACAGTTGAGCACCTTTTCTTCGATTGTAGTAGGGCTACTAGAATTTGGAAATTATCACAAGTTTCTTGGGAAGGTCTGAAATCCCAAACTGACAGCTTCAAAGGATGGTGGTCTAGTGTATGCCACATCAACAGAACTGCAACATCAGAAGCACGAATTCAGCTCTCCACGTACATACTCTGGTGGTTGTGGAAAGCAAGGAATTTGTGGGTCTTTAAAGGGACTTGGATGGATGACAGGGCATTGATAGAGATAGCAGGCAAAGACTGGAGGGAATTCTCTGGAGTTCAGAATTGATAGCTTGTAGTTCTCTTTGTTTGTTCTTTTTGCTTTGGGTTCTCTTTTTGTTTGTCTTTTGCTCTTTTGGGTTGCTGTTTTGGATTTGGTTTGGCTGGGAGCTCTGCTAGGCCTTTTGTGCAGTGGTAGATCTCCCTTTTGCTTCTTTAAGTTTGAAGTTAGCTGATGGACTCAGTGAGTTCAAACATTGCCATTAGCTAGCTAGCAAACTTCATTTAGGTCTCATTTTGTTTTTTTGGGTTTGATTAGCCATGGTTGGCTTTTTGTTGGTCAGTTGGCCGCCGATTTGTACAAACATTGTATTGATCTTGTTTTGAGAATATACTATCTATCGTTTCGGAAAAAAAAAAAAAAAAAAAAAAAAAAAAAAAAAAAAAAAGACATAATTGAAGGAGGCAGTGCAGGAACATACGGATACACGGGAAAGACCACCGATCGCAGAGGGAGACCGCACCCACACACGGCCGGGAGAATAATTATATTCTTCTATTTTCCTTTTTATTTATTATGTTAGAGTATTTTTTATTTCTAGTTTCGGAGATGTCGAACCTACGTACATGACTATGTTTAATTAATTGCAGTAATTGATTATTTTGTTGCTTTTTATCAAATTGTGTTGTGTTATTTAGATTGAGCAACCATGGTATGTTTGATTTTATTTAGATTGATCACCTAGATAAGATTTTTTCATGTCTAATGTTAGAATTGAACCTACAATCCGTAATTGTTGTGAGTTTAATTCGTAAGTAGCAACCGAACGATGGTAATTGTAGGGGATAATACGACCTAATTAAGTGAACTGCGCAGTTGTATTTACTACTTAGGCTAGCCTATTTTTTCTAGATATTAAAGCGGCTATTGTATTAAATCTAGAGAGCGTGTTCTAGGTTGTCCAATAAGTCAGATTTAGTCGTAGAACGTCTCTCTCTTAAATTAACAGTAAGGTAAAATTTGGGTAACAGAGCTTGTTACTATCTAGGGTAAATAATTTCAGAAGATAGTGAAATTTGACGTTACAATTAGTTAGTCTAGTCGATCGAGGGTGCAGACGGAACCTTGAACTAGAAATTTCTCTTCGTTTTATTTTATTTTTATTTTTATTTTCATTGTTTAGATTTGTTTGTTTTAATTAGGATTTTAGTTAGTTTAGTTATTATTCCATCTTTTATTGCTTTCTTAATTCAATTAATATGAAAAAAAAATAAAAAAATCATAGTTTAATTCTCACTTATCGTGGGATTGACCCTTGCTCGCCTCTACGAAACTTTTAAGGTTTTGAAAATCATGTCGTGGTTATAGATCCTCAATGTATCTGCCCAGTAGAACTAGTTGAACTAACAAATAAATGAAAAGGGATGCATTCAAAAGTTCAGAATTGAACAGCAAAGTTGTCCTGAAGTCATAATGTCCTGAAATTCATGTGAACCACCATACCTCTTGAGATTCTTCATCAAATAGACAGTTACTTTCCACTTTTCGTTTTACCAATTGGTTGTTATGACGACACCTTATCCTTATGGATGGTAATATATTTCAATTTTCATTGTACTTTTAACTTGCCATTTATTTATAATAATAAATTATAGAACATTAATTACTTGAAAGATATTTTAAGCTGCCATTAAAATTTATAATAACATTTTATAGAACATTACTTGAAAAATATATTTATAAATATACGACTTGATTATAATTATTAATTTGAAATTTAAATAAAAACTAATTTAGGCCGATTGTGTTGTGGGCAGCCGGAATCAAACTAGTATATAGAATGGAGACCGTGACAAAGTACATCTTATGTAACAATTTACAATGTTGTATGCAATAAGTTTGCATGAGAAAGCAGCCTTTGTTCACTGATCTAACTTTTGAGAACATGGAAAATACGAGTTTCTAACATAGCTTGTACATGGTGTCGATACACTCGGAAATTTTAATAAACGAGCATCACTTGGGTGTCGGGGAGTAAAACGGGTAGCTCAGATCAAGAAACAATGAAACTGTCTTCAATAGCTTTTGTGATCACAAGACTAAAGATAGCCACCATCTCTTTCAACCACGTCAATATTACACTAAAACTTTCTCCAACCTCTTCTTCCTCTTATCAAATATAATTCTTTACAACAAGAGTACATAATCCTGTCCATATAATCGTAATAAAGATATTACAAAGATTCTCATATCTACAGAAAAACGAGCACAATAGCAAGTTGCAAAACTTCATCAGTTCATTGTCTTTCGCATATTCAATGAGCCTGTCATAATATTATTTTAAAAGGGCAGTTAGTAGTCGAGAAAAAAAAAAAAAAATCCTTTAAAAAAAATCCAAAAAATGAACAAAAATCTTCGAGAAACTTGCCTGAGCCATCTGTGTTGTCCGTGAGGAAGCTGCTAGTCTTTCATTTGAGTCGTTTGTTGTCAATGACGAAGAACGAGAACATCCTTGCGAGTCTTCCATAGCTTGCTTCAAGATCTCGACCACTTGAGTCATTGTGGGCCGATCTTTTGGGTTTTTGTTCAAGCAAATGTCAGCCAATTTTGCAATCCTCCGAGCAGCACTCTGGGAATATTGATTTTGGAGGCGTGGATCAATGATCATGCTAAACCTCTTGCTATTGGCTGGGAACTGCTTCACCCATTCCAGTAGCTTTACCTCAGACGAGGGGAGGTGCCTTTCTAATGTCCGCCTTCCTGTCAGTATTTCGTATAGGACAACACCAAAGCTATATATGTCACTTTTCACTGTCAATCGGCCGGTTTCGACGTATTCTGGGGCTGCATATCCACGTGTCCCGACAGGCTAACATCACACAAAAAAAATCGAGAAATCAGAAACAAATCGACACCAGACGAGAACCAAATTACGTTCTAACTAAAAAAGTTGTGGTATACACTGGAGCTTCAAGAATATTAGGATCATGACATAATATATGAAAAAAGAAAAATGTATCAAACATATCAATAGTATATATTGTTATGCATCTCCATCTTAAAAATAAATGGTCAGATGCATATTAAAATTGCGCCAAACCAAAACAGGCAAAAGTTTGTTAATGGTTAACGGAGATATTTACTAAACCAGAGCCATAATTGAATGTCATGAAGCATCACATTTACTTACAGCAGTAGACACGTGAGTGCGGTCCCCTGTTGGACCTTCCCTTGCCAGCCCAAAGTCGGAAAGTTTGGGATTGAAATCCGTGTCAAGTAGCACGTTGGAGGATTTGAAATCTCGATAAATCACCTTTGCATTTAAGGATAAGACAGTTGGTGAGATAAAACAAACTCATTAAAAGTAGTACGTATACATCATAATTAAGCTTCGATAGGGAAGTCAGCTAATTTCCTGGCACCTAAAAATGAGAATTATATTAGGATTTCTTCCAGTCCCTAGCTGCCTCATTAAATTCTTGTTGTCTAGGACTTCAGCTAGATTTATGTTGAATTACTGAATCCCACAGGAGGAATATCAGCTTAAAGATATGCAGCTCATGATTCATCTACTACAGTCACATCTTCTAGAAAACTTCATTGAAATAATTGCATCTTGCAGAAAACACCAATGTTCAGTATATCATTGTTGAAGTTACAAATTTTCAGTATGATTTAAAGGAAAAAATAAATTTTATAGGACTAGTTCATTATAAATGTGCCCCAAAATCGTATCCTATCTAACCTGTGAAAATACTCTCTTCGACAAGCATAGAACTCGGACATTCTAGTAAGCTATGCTTGGGGATTGCAAGAACAAGAAAATAGAGTACCTGAACTTCCGATCCCTCGTGCAAATACGCCATTCCTTGAGCTGCCCCAAGGATAATGTTTATTCGGGTCACCCAAGGAATTGTTGGCATGGCCCTGTTGAAAAGATGGTCCTCCAGGCTTTTATTAGGCATGTATTCATAAACCAAGAGCCGTTGTATTCCCCTTTCTCCATCCAAAGAACAGTATCCTAAAAGCTTCACAAGATTGGGGTGATCCAGCACTCCAAGGAATTGGACTTCTGCAATCCATTGCTTGTGACCCTACATGATAGACGAAAATTTTAATGTCAATTCTAAACAAACTACGAAGATAACTAAAATATATTACAAACTTAATTCAGAGTGTGATTGATATTGGAATGCTAAGTGTGACTGCAAATCAGGGTCATGACTTCATTGTTACCATCAACTTAGACTCAAACAATCAAAGCCGAGCACCACAAATTGGTGCTACTGAATGATCTAAGAAGAGACGATCAAGTGCTTCTGGTTTTACTTTTAGTTGGTACATTCTAGTACACCCTCCTAAAATTCTGTTTAACAGGAATTGTGGCTAATCACAGGGGTTGCCACATTAGTAGCTGGAGAATTCAAGACAGACGGATTAGAATAATGCATACATTTGAAGAATAAACTTAACATACTTGAAATTTCTACCTTCTGTAACACCTTAGTATCAATTAAAGAGGACAAAAGTTCAGCCATTATTAGAAGGTCAATTTGTTCTGGAATAGAAAATTAGTGTATCTAAGATATGATAAAAATTTTCCTTTGTCAGACTGAAAGTAGAAAACCAAACCTACATTATCTGGAAATTGTCAAAATCGACACAGATAACGAGAGCTTCTCAAATTTATACTCCGAACTAACTTATGATGTGCCCTCGTCGGGTTTTTTACCATTAGATCAACACACACCCGTGGCTATGCGTATGAGTGTGCGTAATTTGATGGTAAAAATCCCAATAAGAACACCGTCGAATTTGCCGATTCAAAGACTTCCTCAACAACTACATAGCAATAAATGCACATGATGAGCTTTTTGAGTGTGCAATTAACCGATCACCCATTTCTTTTCCACCAGTGACGAGATGATCATCCAACACTTGAGCAAACGCCAGAAAATTCAACCAAATAAAGTATTAGAGATTGGATTTTGTTCGTTTTACCTGCAAGCCATGGACATTCAGCTTCTTAATGGCGACAATGTTGGGCCGATCTGGCGGGGCGGGTTTGATGGATCCCTTGTAAACCGACCCGAACCCACCCTCGCCGATCTTGAGCAGCCTGTTGAAATTGTTGGTCGCCTCACGGAGCTCCGACAGAGAGAAGACCCGCAGGCTGTGCTGCCTCTCTCTGTACATCTCGGGTATCGTCCGGCGAGGGGAAGACAAACTGCTTCCGGCGGACTTCGCCGCGCGATTCCCCCCGCTGTCCTCGCTCCCCATTCTTCCGCCTCCGCCGCCGCCCAATTCCGGAGCTGAGTTGGCACCTCTGCGCTTCTCTCTTCCGAATATCTGGAAACAGTTCATGATTTGCCCGACCGCCCCCCAAATTTGTTCTGTAATGTCGAATTGCAAGGTTTTGAAGAGATGAACGCGTGAGAATGCTCGTCTTCTTCGTTGTTTTTTCTTTAATGGAGACGACGAGTATATACAGAGCTACATTCATCGTCTGTGTGTGTATATATATGATCGAGACATCCAGACGTAATCAAGAAAAAGAGGACCACGACTCTACAGTTTGCGCCATTCCCATTTTCCCACCAATGAGTTCGTATGTGTAATATATTATATTGGGAAATGGTACCGTCCCGTTACGAAATCATCGGAGTTTGTAACCTTTAAATCAACTATTACTGACGATTGCATGAAGATCAAACAGTTACAAACTCGGACAGAATGGTTCAGTAACGAGACCTTAGCATTTCCCTATTATATATACAGAGAAATGTTACTGTCCGTTACGAAACAATTCGGTTGACTTTTATAACCGTTAAATGATCATTTAACTTTTGAGATAGTTAATCTAATGGTTACAAACTCGATTTATTTAAACACACAAATTATTTATTGTGCGAGTCTGCTAAGAGCTAGTCGCGATATTTTATTTTATTTTCTTCAAACAATAATGTTTATCATATAAAATACTATACTTTTGAAGTTTTAATTATGTAGTTTTGTAAAGTACCACATTTCTATCACATTTTCTATTATCTTGGTTTATATATAGGATATTAATTTAAATATATAGGATATTAAAGTATAATTTATTCAAATGTCATATTAAATATAAATAATAATATAGTTTTTAAAAAAGCATTTAAAGTTCAGAGTATTTTTTTCATTAATTGTTTCATTTTAAGTATAATTTTTTCCACAAACACCAATGTAAATGTGTAATCCTCCCTATTATTCTCGAATGCGCTGAGCCTACGTGGCTGTTTATGGTGCTTCGGAATTCTACTTGGCAAAGAATCATGCTTCGTAATTAGGTTTTGACAAATAATATTGATATATTAATAATTAATAATCTAGGTTCGGACATTTCATAAATATTATTTAGCTAACTTAAGTATTTTAATATAATTTTTGCTAATATAACCCTTTAATTCTTTGTAATTTTACATAGTGAGACACTAAGTGACTAATATATCCCTGACTTTTGATTTGTTTCCTTCAATTAGCTATTGAATTGTAAATGTATTTTAAAAGTTGATAACTTTCGTATTTCTTATCGGTTTTACATATATAATATATCAAATTAATTATATTTTGATGATCTTCGATTTGACATTCATATTGTATATATGAAATAAACAAATCATATTTATTTTTATAATAATAATAAATAATAATATTTATTACAATTCATTAGAAAAATAAAATTATTTCTCAATTGATATATTTATGTTTAATGTAGTTATATGTTGTAAGTCAAAAAAATATTATAATATAACACAAGTAAGTCGCACAAATAATAATATATATATATATTTATAAAAGGTATTGAAATTTTCAATTACTTTTTATCATTAATTTTAGATTTTAATAAAAAATTAGCAAGCACTCGTGTAATACACGGGCGCTGTACTAATTAAGAGATATTATAGTAGTTAGTAATACTTAATTAAGATACAATGTTGCGTGTGCATAAGAAAAGAAGTGTGTTTAAGAGAATTGGAAAACAAACAAAATGGGCCCAACACGGTCGACAAGACTGGCCCAAAAGACTTGTAACCATATTTTTCGTCTTTGGTCAATCCCCCGTTACGAAATGTATATATTTTTTCAAATCGAAAGTTGACAAAGTCTAATATTAGATATTGTTTCAAACATAATTTTTGAAATAGTGCAAATTTTTTTTTTTTTTTTTTCTGAAACGATAGGGGAACTAATATAAATAAAAAACGCACAAATGTGCGAACAAGGATACAACGCTCCCAAAAGGATAATAAAATGGGTGGACAGGTCAGAAGACCGCCTAGATTCCCGCTAGCAACGCTAGAATAAAACTCGCAACTAAACTGATCAACTAAAACAACAAAAAAGACCCCAACAGGATAATACCCGAGTGTCGGATTCCACCAGGATAATAAATTTGACACCCGAGCGCACATAGGCCAAACGGCCCAAACCAAAAACACAAACCTAAACACAAGAAACAAAAACAAGGAGAATAACCAAAATAAAACCTAAACAAACAAAGCCCTTCCCCCGCGAAAAAACCGACCCTAGCACAAGGCACCAGCGAAATCTAGACCAATCACCCGATAGCTTGACACGAAAGCCAGAACACCCCTCCCGTCACTACCTAAAGCCTAGCAAGGAAGAGTCCAAGCCTCGAACCACACCACAGATGAAGCCGACCTACAGCCCCACGAGGATCGATCAGCCCCACCATACAGACCCGCTTCCCGCGACCCGACTAAACACCGTTGGCCAAAATCCGGGCCTGTCGGGCATCAAACTCCACCAAACCAGCAAAGTGGACACATAGGCAAGAACCAACCCATCTCAACCCCGACCGACGCGGCTCATACGAGCCGAGCCACCAAGGTCGCACCCAACCCCAACCACAACCACTCACCTCCTTGGAGCCACCCACCACTAACCTGCAGCGCAACGGACGAGCTCCCAGCGGAGACCGGGCAGTGAAGAAGCCAACCGACGCCAACCACCAAAGCCACTACACGGAGAACCCGAACTCGAGACCACGACCGGCGGGAAGAAAGCGGTGAGACCTGCCGACAGCTTGAGTACGCCATCGGCACAGAAGTGCTGGCGAGCGAGAAATTGAGGAAGGATGATGAAGTTGTAGGTCATCCGTCGGTGAAAAGTCCGCTAATCGTCGGGGAAGGCACGCGATGTACTGAATCTGGCGAGCTGCGGCGGCGAGGGTTTTGAGCGAGAGAAAAAATTGGGGACAGTGCAAAATTGTTTGAAAACGCAATATAACATTTGAAATTTTTAGTCTTTTGTCCAAACATTTTACACGAAAATGACGAAGTAGCACATTATTTTGCATTGTTCTATGCTTCAATTTTTCTACGTTAAAGTGTTTTGTATTTTAATGAAATGATAGATGTATTAAGTATTAACTGAAATGAATGTACAATGTTCAAAGGTATACTAGCCCGAGTGGAGAAAAACCCCTACACAAGAGGATCACCCAAGGTGTCCTAGAACACACAAAGACAAATATAAAGTAGCATAGACTAAGCTACAGAAACCTGCTCTATACTAGCCCAATTCACAGTAACAATCAAACTAGCAGCAAATAGTAAACCACAACCCAGATAAAACAAACTAAACAACAACAAGAGTTTCAAATTCCACAACAAACCTAGACTGTCAACTCCACAAACTGTTGTATCAATAACAACTCTAACAGCAATTAAAACAACCAAACTGACATAATAGAACTAAGGAATCACCCCAACCTTAAGAACAACCACTGAGCACTAAAGGAACCTAGTTATTCTCCAGGGTTAGTGACCTAGTTGTTCTCCAGGGTTAGTGTGATCCTCAGTTAGCAAACTCCAACCAATCATTAATCCATCCCAAGTAACATGTGACAACTCCCAGATCACTTTGGCTCTAGAGCACTGAAAGAAAAGGTGTTACTGTAGATTTTGGGGTTTCACCACATGCCTTACAGATCTCATCAATTGTGATCCCCTTCTTACTCAGATTGCAATTTACTGGAATGCTGTTTGAGTAGCATTTCCAAAGAAAATGCTTCACTAACTTAAATTTATTAGGTAATGGTTAAGAAAACAAAAGGATCAACTAACTTAAATTTATTCTATTGTATTACGTAATGCTTTTTTACAACGAGTGAAAATTAAAATTTTGATATTAGTTTTGAAATAAGTACTTTAAATTAAAACATATTACATGTTGTATTTGATATCTTAAATGAAATTAGGCTACGAGCTCTATTGTTTAATAATCATACTACAACATATATATTGAACGTTTGCAAGGAGTAATACTTGAATCTTATTGTCTGTCATTCAATTATTTAGTATTAAACCTTTTTATATGATTTAAATGCTCATTTTTGTATATGTAAATATATAATAAGTTTTAGCTTATTTTTTCTATGGCAAAATAGTCTAAACAATATGCAATATTATTTACGGTATGCATTACAAGAACTAAAATGGGACGCGTTGCATGACAAGGTCCAGTGCGAGTGACTTGGGTCTAGAATGATCTTCGGTTCAGAGGTAAAGCCTCCTACGCCGGTTCTTGTTCTAGATGAGAGTTGGGTGGAGTACCTGCAAAAGGGCGCCGGAGTTTTTTCGGCGCAAACCCTCCAAAGCATAAGTTAGTATCTGGAGACATAAGAGGATGAATAGTGATAGCATATTTATTGAGAATTAAAATGTGACTTACGTTTCACAACTAATGTTCCAATATATTTATAAGCATCTAATCATCGTTCGGATACTCTAAGACTAGTCTCTAAAATGGTTGTTACTTATGTCCTAGATCGACATGCGTGTCTGGAATATCATGTGAGTGTGGTCCTACGGTTCGTTCTAGGAGGATCGGTCATACTTCTGTCGGGATAGGTTATTCTTTTCCAGTTCGGTCTGTAAGATGTATGCAGCTATTATCCCATATCAACTACTCCCCCTATTTATGAATACACAATCTCTCTTTTTTGTGAAGTCATAAATATTATTGATCTTTACTATCAGCCCCCTTTGTACTTGGTGATGGGTCTCTTCTCAGATCTGGAACGGTCCAATGGGAAAACGTCCGGATCTGGGTCGAACCGGTGCGAATGAGCTTAGATCTGATGTGATGGCATTCGAACCGTTGTTGAGCCGCAAGAACACCTGCAAGAACTCAACGCCGGAGGGGTTTCCGGCGTAGAGCCTCCGACGCTCAAGTCAGTATATGAGAGAGATGATGAGAGCTGTTGTGAGAGCAGCAGCAGTAATGAATAGGATATGGAATGAATGGGAGTTAGGGTTTTGGGATTACCTCAGTCCTTTATATAGGAGTGCAATATTTAC